TGACTGATTATTTGGCACCAATGAAAATTAACCAAATTTGCACAACTGTCAGAGTCAGGAGTATATGAAAAGATACTGCTCTTCTTTGCGGTAATAATTATTTATTCTAWTCCTCAGATTTGATGTAAATAATGACACTTTTCTGGACCTGATGGAACTGAAAATCTTGATGGAAAAGTTAGGAGCCCCACAGACACATGTTGGTCTGAAGGCAATGATAAAAGAAGTGGATGAGGATAAYGATAGCAAAATCAGCTTCAGAGAGGTAGGTCCTTCTCAAAGGAAGGGTGCATATATGTATAGATAGTGGGATTTAGTAGTACCATCGCTGATTTTCAATTAGAATTCGTGGTGGAAGGAAAATGAGAGAATCTGGAGTAGAACCCTGGAAGAACAGAAGGAACCAACAAGCTAATAAYTCTACTCATATGTCAACACTTTAGGGTCTATCGATTTTGGCCAAAAGATTATAGTTCTGTAGTAGTAAAAATAAACTCAAGATATTGAAAGAGCACCTTTCATATTATTAAGAAGATGTTCAGTTTCAGCTCATAACATTAAATACAGGAAAAATAGCATTAAATGACTGTATGGGCACTAATTCTACTAATGCCAAGGAGCTCTTTCTATATCTGTTAATAATAGTGACATAACTGTGGAAAAAAGGCCATATATATATATATTTTTGTTAATCTTACTGTTGTTTATACAAGCTAACACCTTGGACCTTTTTTTTCATTTCATTTAAAAATATTTCTATCTTTTCCAGTTTCTTTTGATCTTCCGTAAAGCTGCTGCAGGTGAACTGGAAGAAGATTCCGGTCTYTCCCAACTTGCAAAACTTGTGGAGATTGACGTTGGAGAAGTTGGCGTTGGAGGAGCTGCCAGCTTCTTTGAAGCAAAAGCCAAACAAGCTCAGGCATCTTCAAAATATGAAATGGAAATCCTTGCTGAGCAAGAAGAACGAAAGAAAGCAGCAGAGGAGGCCAAAAAGCGCAAAGAACAGTTCAAGGCTAAGAAAGCTGCTTTTGCCACCCCTAGCTAATTCCTTACAACCAAACAAGAATAATTCTCAACAAACCTTCAGTTCCAACAGCTGTAATATTGGATAGGTTTTAAGATTCCTTCATCCAAGTCTTTCATAAGTTTCGTATGTCTTGGACAGGTTTCAAGGTACTAAAGTTTATTTTTTAAGTTTTTTAAATTTTTTAAAGAAATTTTAAAGTAGCTTCAAGTTGTGAAAGACAGGGTTCAAAATTTATCTTGTTACGGACAGGATTATGTTAATCTCAAAGGGGCRACCCATTTCCCCCATCACTAGAATGTAAGAAGCCTAGAAAACTGAGAGGGAGGGGGGAGGGAACGTGTGTCATGTAAGGAAACAAACCAATAAAAAATACTTTCCCAGATATATCTCAATAGACCCCTTGACAAGATGTAATTTGTGAACTCTTCACTCATTTATCAATTCATATATAGTGCTTCAGCATTGTTGTCAAACAGTTAAAGTTTAAGCTTGTATTTTTTTGTATTATCAGAGATCATATTATGTTCATAGTGACATATATCATTCTCACAATCTTTCTAAGTTTCACTAGAATCAACAGAATAAAGTGTGACAATCCTAAACTTCAGAAGAAAAAGCCAGTTTCTCTTATGTGGTTTTTGTAATCGTATTTCTAGCATAACAGGCTTTCAAGGTGAAGCCAAGATCTAGATTTTTAAAAATCTTGAATCACAAGACATTGTGGGTCATCCAAGGGACAAACAGCATTGTTACAATAATGGCGTCGATTGACATTTACTTCTCATAACAAGAAAATTTGACTAGAGATGAATCTTTAAAAACGGACAGTTCCACAAGTTGGGAAATTTCTCAAATAACGTGGGGTCGTCATTTCAGCATTTCGTTTTGTTTTGCGACCTATGACGTGTCGCCTATATTAATGCCTTTAGATTCAAGATGGCTGCCGCATCGTCGAAGAACTCCATTGCGCATTAAGTAGCGCCTTAGTTCAATGTTTTTAAAGTTAAAAAGTGGAGCGCTCGGCCTTTATATTTAGTTCTTGACCTCCACATCTTTTAGACGACAGGCAGCTCTGCCTCTAAATTCCATGTAACGTTGAACTCAACCACCCCCCTCCCCTCCCCCAATACAAATTAACATATCGGACATAGAGCCCTTCTCTGTCTTAGCTAAGGACCCTTTATTTTGCCTGACTTTTCACTTCTATCCAAAAGTACTACCTTTCTATAATGTACACTGCAAACAGTCAGCCATCATTGTCAAATACTGGTTATTATCCGCCTATCAATCAATATTCCTTGTTGTTGAAGCTGAATTATTTGATTGACGGGGAAAAAATCGTTTAGACGCGCACCCAATACTGTACCGAAGTYTTCAGTTTTGGGGATTTGAACGACTAAGGAAACCTTTAGCTTGGCTTGATAATTGAGTAGAATATTTGCATAGATTCCTACACTTTTCTGTCTACATCTCGTTTTATTAGTTTTTCTCTCCTTTTTTCCGTCTTTTTTGAGCAAGTGCTGCCCTCATCAAGCCATTTTGTGACTCCCTCTGGTCTAGAACATCAAGCGCCTTCCCCCAATTGATAGAACACACACTTTGTTTCTCCAACCACGAACTACTTGAATATTCCCTGCCGCTTTGTTTGAGTTCTTTGGAAATTTTAGGAAGTTTCGTTGGAGAAAAAGTGCTATTTCTTTCTTCTCTACTGGTACTTCTTTCGTCTGCTGAAATTGGAGGTAAACTTAGACTGTTCCTTTGCTTGCCATGCCTTTCTGGACTATCAGATACAGGTATGTCTGGTAATTTCAATACTTGTTGTACGGCATCGTCTTCGACGTTGTACACAAAATGTCCAGGGATTTCATCCGTAAAGTTTTTATGAATTTCTTTTTCTAAGTTTGATTCGACTTGTGGTGAAATTCTACCAAGTCTTCTGCCACGTTTTCCTTTTCTTTTCCTCGCTCTTGGAGTTTTCATGTTAAGTTGAATAAATAAAGCGCTTTGTTTTTGACGATAGCGTAAACACAGCGAAAACTTGAACTGAATGGGTTGTTGTTCTAGTTAAAATCCTCGTACTTCGGGGAAAACAAAATCTCTGAAAAAGATAGTTCAAAGCACTCCATTTCGGTTAAGACAATGCATAGAGCTAAATTCGATTTTTCGCACGGTAACCAGCAGTATAACGTGGTTGTTAAAACAAACAAGGTTTGCTGTCTTTGTTTACTCTCCTCATTACTAACCACACTCTACAAGAAAGATCGAACCAGCGAAGCTCGTTTTGCGTAATTAAAAAGCCCCATCTCCAGGGAATAGTCCCATATGTCATTATATCAAAACTTGAACCTACTTAATACTCAAGACAATAAAGGGTATTAAGTCTTCTCAAGATGATTGATAAAAATCAATGAAGTTTAGTTAGTTGTAAAAATAGAGAGGATAGGTAGCTACCCTCGCACTTAAATATGGCATATAATTGAAACTATAGTGTAAGAAATAATCGGGTTTTCATTGCTAGAGGGTATGATAGCTTTCATAGCTATCATATCTCTGGGTTTGTCGGCCCTCTGCAAAAGCTAACCAGTCAAATTGCAAGTCGATCTGTGAGTTAGCCGTGCCCTGACTTAGGTCAGCCCAGAGGTTGTTTCAGGGTTTGATCTGTGAGTTAGCCGTGCCCTGACTTTGATCAGCCCAGAGGTTGTTTCAGGGTCTGATCTGTAAGCTACCCATGCCCTGACTTAGGTCAGCCCAGAGGTTGTTTCAGGGTTTGATCTGTGAGTTAGCCATGCCCTGACTTTGATCAGCCCAGAGGTTGTTTCAGGGTCTGATCTGTAAGTTACCCATGCCCTGACTTGATCAGCCCAGAGGTTGTTACAGGGTTCAATCTGTGATTTGGTCATGCCCTGACTTCCATCAGACCAGAGGTTGTTGCAGGGTTCTATCTGTGATTTTCATGCAACGAATTTACGTCATCACTTGATGGTACATAGCCTTAGAATTCTTCTTTTGTGTTTGGACTTGTTGACTATACCGTGCCTCCATTAGACGGGACCCCGAGTTCAACTGCGGTGCTTGGATCTAGTCGAGTGTCGTTGATGGCGGCTGAGATTCATCGTCTGTAATGCGAGTATAGAGGACAGTTGCTTGATTTAGGGACGGCTTGAAGACAGCTTCAAGTAAGTTATAAAACAATATAAGAGCAAATAAAGTTATGTAAAGTAGCCGGTAAAACGTTGCGCACAAGTTAAAAATCAATGCGCAACATCAATATACCTGTGCGTCAGTTACAATTCAAAGCGCAGTTTTTAATAACTAATGCGCAACATTAATAAACCAATGTGGTGGTGAGGTTGATGGCGATGTTGATGATGATGGCATGTGACGATATATTATGATGGTGCTACAAGATGATAATAATGATTTAAGATTTTTATTAATTTTGATTTGATAATGTTGTTGTTGAGCGGTTGATGCTGATGGTCATGGCGATGATGAAGGAAAAGATGAAGAAAAATCTACAAACCTAATTAACAACGATATCCACGGCAACAGAAGAATGAGAATCATCGTTGGGCTTCCTGTGTAATCACGTGTTCAAGTCGTGTGTCCATCAAACGAGAAGCCCTTTTCTCAACGTGGTCGTGTTGAACGGTTCTAGCGTGTTGAACACTGACTTTATACCTCAAAAATAACCGGCTAAAGACGATTAACCATGGGTAAAATCAAGACTTCCAAAAAGGTAAGACGCTTAAGAGGTACCTGGTTGAATTTTATTCAAGTTACTACGATATAAAGTGAATTTCTGTGAGTTTGCTTTAGACAACGTGCACATTTTTCTCATAAAGAACGGCGAACGTTGAACATCTCAGCTCTTGAGAACGATTTTATCACCCTTTATTCGTGTTTTTTCGTCAAATATTACATTTATAAGCAAAGGACTAGTAAACGTAGCCATACAATCGAGGAATACAATTTTAGAGTCTTTTTTTGGAGTCTTCTCATCAAACTCCATTGCGATCCAAGCGTCTTCTCTCAAACCACGTGGTATCGACTGTTCTTTTAGATCTTCAAGTTTTCTCGTTATTTTTCTGCCAGGAATTGTAAAAAAACGCTAAAATAAAAGGGAGAGGTCTTTGTTTTGATTATTCAAGCTTGTTTAGCAATACCTAGGAATATATTTTAAGGTTTTTATAGTATTTTGGGCTGTTGTTTATGGCTTCACCATGTTGTGCAATCACGTGTTTAATAACTTCTTTAAATCCCATATAAAAGTTTTTACTTTTTCACTGCATTTATCTCATATGTTTTGGTCTAGTTCAGCTCATAGATTACTGATGGTTATTATATGAATGTCAAAATATATTTTCCAAAGCAATATTCACATGGATACAAATAAATTATAAACTCTGGTCTCCATCTAGGATAGAATTGAGTATTATTTTAGAATTGTGTAGGCTCACAATTGCAATTGCTTGGCAAACACTGCCTGTCATGCGTTATCAACCAGAGAGTATTCTATTGCTTGGTAGCAATCAGCTGTATGAATCTCATGAATCTCATTACTAGCCTGCAATGACAGGCAAATGCTGACCATCATGCACTATCAAACAAGAGTATCCTGCTGCTTGGTATCAATTGGCAGAATAAATCTCATCAATCTCTTTACCACTGCCCTCCATTCTCAGTAATCCATGTACATTCCTATTGAAAACTTGCCGTTCATCTAATATTTATCTATTTATCCTTCCATAAAGGCTCAACCGGATGAGACAAAGAAAGTAAAAAAGGTGAAGGAAACTAATAACAATATTGATGTGAATGGTGACAAAACTGAAAAGAAAGACAAGAAGAAGAAGAAGGCAAAGAATGGACCTGTGAAAGCACCTCCTGCCAAGAAGCCTGCTAGCTCTGTAAGTACCTGTTCTTGTCCTTGTCTTTTATTTCTTTTCTTTCTTTCTTCCTTTACTTTGCTGCTTCATACTTTTCCCTTTCCTACTCTCTATCTTTACTACTCTTTCTTTTTCCGACCTTCCTTCCTCCTTCCTTTGTTTCTCCATCTTTAATTTCTCTTCTTTTCTCTTCCTATCTTTTCCTCTCTTTTCTTTCCTTTATTCAATACTTTTTTTATCTCTTTATTTCATGCTTAAAGTCATTCACACATGTATTCTAACTGTCTGGATTTATTTTTTAAAGGATTCAAGCTCAGATGACTCAGACTCTGAGATGGACACAAGGTTGGTGGTTGACTATTTATCATTCCATCTCCAGTTTTTAATGTCCTTTTCTCTATTTTCTCATAGTCCCTGTATGTTTTTTAATAATGTATAATATCCTTTGACTTTTAGTGCCCCTGTAACCAAGAAAAAGACCCCAAAGCCAGCAAAGACTCCTGCCAAAGATTCCTCAAGCTCAGAGTCAGACTCTGAAGAAGAAGCACCCAAGAAAACAGCCCTCAAGACAGATGTTCTTAAACTAAAGGGTATCAAGAAGGAATCTGATTCCTCAGAAAGTGAAAGCGAAGATGAAGAACCAGCCCCCAAAAAGAAGGATAAGAAAAAAGTGGTCAATGGAAAGGGTAAAAAAGAAGATAAAAAGGCAACAAAAAAGCCAGTGAAGAAAGAATCTAGCAGTGACGATTCAAGCTCTGAAGATGAAAAACCAGCAGCAAAGAAGACTGCTGCAAAAGAAAAACCTGGTGCAAAAAAAGAAGAGTCAAGTAGTGATGAAGACTCCAGTGATGAAGAAGAGAAGCCTGCTACAAAAGCCAAAGCAGCTCCAAAAAAAGAAGAAGAGTCAAGTAGTGATGAAGATTCCAGTGATGAAGAAGAGAAGCCTGTAGCAAAGAAGAATGCTGTAAAAGGCAAAGCAGCTCCAAAAAAAGAAGAGTCAAGTAGTGATGAAGACTCCAGCGATGAAGAAGAGAAGCCTGAAGCAACGAAGGCTGCAGCAAAAGCCAAAGCAGCTCCAAAAAAAGAAGAGTCAAGTAGTGATGAAGACTCCAGCGATGAAGAAGAGAAGCCAGAAGCAAAGAAGGCTGCAGCAACCAAGGAAGACGAGTCAAGTTCTGATGAAGAATCTTCAGATGAAGAGGAAACTAAAAAGAAACCAGTAGCTCAAGTAAATGGTGCAGCTAAAAGGAAGAACACAGAATCATCATCAGAGGAAGATTCAGAATCTGAAGAGGAAAATCCAGAACCCAAAGCAAAGAAATCTAAGAAAGAGGTAACTAACAAATGTGACGTTATCAAAGAGTAGTTGGATTTGTTGAACTTGTATAAAATGTATAACTATAAAATATGAATTATTTTCTTGATTGTTTGCATGTTTTTGTGAGTTTGTTCCTCTAGCTTTTTTGTTTTGATGCTGTTGTCAAAAGTTTGCTTTTGGTTAAAAATTAAATTAATTCAGGATTCCTGTGGATTTGACGTGAAAAATAGTACATTTCCCCCTAGAATCAAGAATGTAGTTCAAACTGATGTCATGCAATGATGAATAAACTTAGGACACCTTATGATGTTTGCTGATTAGAAATCAAGTTCTGAACTGAGCATGACTTCTATTAAGATTGGTCAAACAAGCTAACAAACCATTACCTATTAGTTTATAAAGTTAAAGGTATTTTTGTTGCGAAATGTGATTGTCCGAGTGAGTGTAGTCTTGAAAAAACTGTTGGTGGTGGTGACTGACGTTTCAACAACCTGAGGGAAGTCATCTTCTCTCGTTTTCTCACTGGACTCTGAAGAGGACTTCCGCTCAGGTTGTCGAAACGTTAGTCACCACCAACAACTTTCTCAAGACTACACTCACCCGGACGATCACATTTCACAACAAACTTTAACGCCTTGGTTCAAACCATTCACTGTTAAAGCTTTTATTTGTTATTTGATTTTAGAGTACCTATTATCCAATATTGAAATTTTTGACTTAATTTTAATTCTGTTTTACCATATCCTATAACCTCTAGCACTTTTTTTGAAGATATAGAAATATAGACAAGTTCTAGTGCTTAGGAACGAGGTTATTCCGGGCGAAAGCCCTTGGAATTAAATTCGGAAAAATTAATTTCCGACCTCACTTTTTTTGACTTTGTTTAATCTTAATCTTTAAAATTTACCAATCCATTGCACTATAAATTTGATTGAAGGAAGCCAAAGGTCCATCCACAACATTAAATAAAACATTGGTGTCATAAATACTTTATCAATACATTGTGAAAAGAGTTAAATTAATAAATCTCTGGGTCAAGACAACGAGACCTTAGCATCTTCTAAGCAAGCAGTGTACGTAGGAAATATAAAATTGATACATATTTTGTAATTTTGGCCTTCAAAGGAATCATCAGACAGTGATGAGGATTCAGACGAAGAAGAAGAAGAGGAAGAGGAGAAGCCAAAAGAAAAGGCCAAGAAAAGAAAAGCTGCAGATATAGAAGCAACCAAGACACCGAAACAAAAGAAGTCTGCTGATGGAAATTGTAAGAATTTAAGCTTAAAAAAATTTATAATTAACAAAATATTTTCTGCCAACAATAATGGAAATATGCTATTTCTAAAAGATAAAATTGGATAAAAATCTGGCAATGAGTTTTATTTTCTTTATTTTCAAGTAAAAGCTGTTGTTTAATGAGCCAAAAACCTGGAACTAGAAAATATTGAGCTAAGAAAATTGTTGCTGATTGGCTAATAGACCATTATTTTTCAAGTTCCAAATTACTGCTGTGTTCCTTGATTACAGACTCAGTTCCTCAGGGTTGGACTCAAATCAGTGTCTAAATATTCACAAATATCAACAGAAAAGTAAAGAATGCAAAACTTCAACAATACAAACACTTTGAAATTCTACAGTCACTGAAACACGTGAATATTCTGCATAAAATYGAGGCTAACCCTGTGCAGCAACTCAAAACTAGAGCATTCGTTGGAGCTGATAGAAGCAAGATGACCTGGCTATAAGATGATGATTGTATCTTATTTTGATCAACAGATAGCTTATTCATTGGTAACTTGTCATATGATGCTGATGAAGAAAGTTTAAAGGGCTTGTTTGACGAGAGTGGCCTCTCTGCTTCTGTTAGGATCATCACAAGTGAAGGAAGATCAAGAGGGTGAGTTAAACATGGTTCGGTGAACATTTAGATTTTATATTTTACAACCATCAGTCCCATTACGAGGCTCTTCCATGAGGTTCGGTTCACATGCACTTCCACTACGGATTTTAACATGGGTAGGGAAACCGGAGAAAAACCCTTGTGGTAAGGGAGGGAACAACACATCAAACAAACAATTATTGACATATGTAACTAAGCTTGGAATTGAACCCGTGACCCCAGTGGTGACAAACAATGTTGCAGCAGTGCATGTTACTTATAGCACTCTGGTTCCAGTTTCTACCTAACCAAAATCAATGTTAGTAAAAATTAGAATTAGTGTGTTTCCTGTTGCGCAACTGACCCTAAATTTTTTTTACCGATTTTTGCCGCCCCTAATATTTTTTTCATTCCCAAATGCACCACAGGGTTCCCAGTATGCTCATTTCCACTGTTGTATCAGTAAAAAGAATCCGACCTCCAAACCCCAATTATTTTTCTTATACAACAGGAAACACACTTATTTTTTTGTTTGGCCTTATCAAGCTTCTTGCAAGGGTTGGACCTTGTAATGGCTAACCAACCCTTTTTTGTGTGCCAATAGATTTGGTTATGCAGATTTCACCAGTTCTGAAGACTATGAAAAAGCTCTAGAGATGAATGGTACTGAATTCTGTGGACGAGAGTTGAAAATCAATCCTGCCGACAGCAAACCTAACACCCCTAGAAGTGGTGGTGGTGGTAGAGGAGGTCGTGGAGGCGGAAGAGGTGGTTTCAGTTCAGGACCACAAAATCCTCCTCACAAGTCACTGATCGTCAGAAATCTTTCATACAATACTACGACAGAATCTCTAGGTGCTGCTTTTGAAGGCTGTAGTAATGCTAGAGTCATTACGGATAGAGATACAGGAGAATCTAAAGGGTATGTGAGGTTTTGTCTTGTTGTACATAGACTTTCGCAATTGAGCGGTATTCATATGACTGTGAAAAGCGCACCATACAAGCATGGTCTAGTCATTGCTAGGGATAGGCCAGACCAATCACATTGCTTGAATATTTACTCTCCATCCAATCAAATACACAGTTAGCACTGTCAGACCAATCACAATAGGAGAGGGGAAAATCAGCCAATCAAAATTCTAGAAAGCGTTACGGCACAAAAAGCTTCTGGCGTTGTGTTTTACACAGTCATGCAAAAAGTGATCTATATATGTCTATTGCCTTATTAATGATGAACAGACTTAGGACACCGATGAATTCTGTTAAAACAGAGCTGATCACAAACCAAGTATATCACTGATATAAGGCATTTGATTTCAATAAATCATTTGTAAATCTTATTGCTCTTTATTGACTAGTTTCTTTTTTTCTTCCAAGGTTTGGATTTGTCGACTTTGATGATGTTAACACTGCCAAGGAAGCACTCAACCAAATGAGTGGATCACAAATAGATGGCAGACAAGTTAGACTAGATTTCTCATCACCTAGACCCGAAGGTGGTGGACGAGGAGGTGGAAGAGGTGGCGGATTCGGTGGCCGTGGTGGTGGATGGGGTGGGGGGCGTGGACGTGGAGGGCGTGGTGGAAATAGAGGAGGAGGAGGTGAGATAATAATATAAAGTTATTATTAAATAATTACTTCAAAAATGAAGAAAATAACGTTTGTGTATTTTCTTAATTCAACAGCAAGCTTTCAACGAAAAGGAACTATTCAGGAATTCAAGGGCTCGAAAATAACCTTCGATTAGTTTTCCTGTTGACTTAGAATCTTGTATTTTAGTCATCCATTTTTATAACCCAACCATCTAAAACTTGTAATTTTGTTTTGACAAACCAAATGTAATATAGACAACATCTGCTGTAACTTCTGTCATCCCATTGTAACGCAAATGTAACAAAAACATATTCTATTTACTATTATTTTTATTGAAAATTGCTGGAAGGATAAGCATGGATCTTCCTCCATAGATCATAATATAATTATTTACCCAGGAAAGGAAACAAAATATGATGGTATTTTGGGTTTTGATGTGACTTATACCAGGTACTCAGCGACTTAAGGCGATTTAAGAAAATATGATGGTATTTTGGGTTTTGATGTGACTTATACCAGGTACTCAGTGAGTCTAACGAGGTTTTATTTATCTTTCTGGTATTAAAATCAAAGATGATCATCGTAAAGTCTTAACAAGGTTTTACTGAAGATTTCTACCATTTACTCGTAGGATAAAACAATGACAAGTTGTGAAATATTTTCAAATGCTGTAATAAGTATTTCTTCAAAATTTGAAACAAGGCTGTGTTCGAAGTAACAAACCTTCCTTGATGAGTTTGTTAGAAAAACATGTAGTTGTTGGTTTCATTTTAAGGGTATAAAATGGTCGCCCAGTATTTTTCTCGTATCAAACTAATTTGTATATACAAATACACCATAGAAAGTTTGTAAACAAAAAATACTTAATATTCATTATCCTGAAGGAAATGTAAGGTTACTGTTGACCACTCCTAAGGACCAAGGTATCATTCTTTTTACAGTATAAAACTACTGAGAGATATTGTAGCTATGGTATTTTCATTCATTGTAATTGTTCACAAAAAATAAACTTTTCCTTCACCAAATTTTCCTCGTGCAACGTGTGGTTTGGTTCTGTCAAATTCTGTATAATTAAATGCATGGGAATATTAAGTGTCTGGGTTAACAGCATAGATACAATATAAGTAATGATGTTAGCTCAATACAAAGCATAACTGGTCCAACCAAACCCCCATATCAGTTCCAATACAAAATTCTCAATCACACGCTCAAAATGGTACACTTTTCTGTAACACTGTCAAAGTGTTTCCATAACATTCGGTATGTGCCTAATGAAATGTCATGGAAGCGCTTTGATTGACACCCACCCAAATTTATACTTTGCAGCGAAGTACTCCAGTTTCGTTTATTTTGTTTTGTACGTTATAATATTCAGCTATTCAACCAAAACTCATGGAATTTTAATCAACTCTTTGTTCCATATTACATACATTCCTTACTATACAATGGACCTTAAAGAAAATTTAAAAATAAAACATTTGTAGACAATAGAGGCAAAGACTGAGCAAAGGTAAACTCTAAATGGGAGTATTATAATGCGGAGGGAAATTGTTTGAGAATTGAACTTGGTAATCGGTATTTAAAATGCGTAATGTTTCATAATGACCACTCGATGACAATTTCTGACTAAGAACATTTAATTTTATTAGTAATTATTATACAAAACACTAGTATTTACAGATTAAACTTTCACCAAAGCTATAAATTCCTTATCTGTCATCAATAGGTGGTAGATAATATTTTCTGTTTCATCTTAGACCTTGAAATAGCCATAGATTCCAGTAATCTTAAGCATGTATTTAGGCCTAAGGTTTATGTAAAAGATACAATGTCTGCATTTTTTGTATGAGGAAGAATTGGAGAGTTTTATACTGTATTTCTTACAGCATGCAAAACCCTTGGGTGCACACAGAATATTGTCTGTTCTGTCTATTGGCTTATCATCTAAAACTTGTTGGTCAGTTAGTTGATGGTTGGGTTAAATGTCGCACAGGTCTAGGTCTTCCCGAGTTAATGATCAGCTGGGTTGATTGCCCACATGTTTTGCCTTCTGATTCACTGGCTCTAGTTGATCACAGAAGACAGGCTATATCGTACAGGATATTGGTAGCTGCGTCATTATTTAGCACCCCTTTTCTTTTTCGAAGCTCCCTTATCTGAAGAAGCTGAACCAGGATGGTGTGTTTTCTTGGGCTGTGCTTCTCGACGACTTATCTAAATATAAATAAAGTCATAATTTAATTATAAAAGAAATTAACAAATCAAAAATTCCCTTGAGATATAAATAACAATGAAACAGCTGCCATGTTGGTCGATCTAACAAGAGAAGCTATAAGGAATAAACTTATAGACCCCTTCACAGTTCCCTGTGCCATCTTCAAAGATAGCCGTGCCTTTGCAACATAGCAAGACAAACAGTGAGCTTGCAATGATAGAGATGTGAACAATTGTCCAATCTGTTAAAAAAGGTCTCTATCTTTGCAAGCTCACCGTCCGTCGCTTCAATGCAAAGGCACGGCTACCTTTCAAGATGGCGCAGGGAACTGTGAAGGGGACTATAGCTTTGCATCATCATCCAAGATGGCGGCTATGATGTAACATGCACATTGCTCCATAGACAAGGACAACATACCCCTTTCATGATTTTATTCTTGAGTTCTTGCTGCGTTAGTGGCCTCTGTTCCTCGTCACTGCCTGAAGAGTCTTCACTGTCATAATCGTCACCAGTTGATGGGGGGACAATGTTAACAGACATAGAGCCTGGCTGTGGTCCTTGGCCAAGTAGACCCACGGGGACGGAAGGTTCCTCTTTTTCAGCCTCCTAAGTATGATTAATATTTAGTTAGGCTGCCTTCATAATGTATGGCAGGGGGGGCAGGTGGAATTCAGGGGGGGATCAGGAAAATTTTGGTAGGAAAAGGGGGGGATGGGCAAATTTTTATCAGAAAAATTGGGGGGCGCACAATTTTTGGAAGAAGCTACAAGCTTTGCTTAGGGGGATCGTATTTTTTTGCATGACTTTAAGGGGGGTGTTGAAAATTAGTCTCGACATTTCAAATTTTCACCTGCCCTTCCCCCCTCTGTCATACATTATGAACGCAGCCTTATTAGTAGAGGATTAATATTCAATAGTTGAATACGCCAGTTTGATACATTCTTACCTTTGTAACATGAAATCCATAAACTTGCAAAAGCTCATTCGTCCTTTGCTCAATAATTCCCAAGAACTGCATCATGTTATTATCAGTAATGCCCTCCTTACTGCCGAGAAGGTTCTCTATTGCTGACTTATCACAGTTAATCTTGTTGAACAAGGAATCTATTCCTGATTTCAGTTGTTCAAGTATCTTCTTGGTCTGCTTGTGTTGGCCTTCAAACTGTTCCTGCTTGTCGGCAGTTGAGTTGAGTTGATCTTCCAAACCTTTCATTATGTTTTTTCTTTGAGTCTCCATCTCTACTCCTTCACTCTTAAACTTTTCTATGTCGGCATTCACCTGTATAGATAATTCACAGCGGCACTGGTTATTTTAATTCCTGGTTTCCTTGACAACATCTCTGGGATGTTGAATTGTGTAGTTCCAGAAATTATCCATACCCCCTTCAACCAGGAATTGTTTTAAAGACCCCCCTACCCCAGAAATTCCAATTTTCTTCCATACAAACTCCCTCAGGGTTCGTGCTGAGGTAACGACTTAAAATTCAAGGACTATTCAAGGAGTATACAACTGGACCCAAAAATGAATTTTCAAGGAGTATGTTCAGCTAACTATGCCAATGTAAAATGTGGTTGCACATGGCCAACTTTCAGATTTTCCGATCTTTCTGACTAGATCTATTTCAGAACCATGCAAGTAATGATCAAAGCAAAAATTTAAGGAGTTTTCAAGGAGTTTCTCTAAAATCGTAAAACTCAAGAGCTTTTCAAGTGCCCTTGAAAACGTGAATTAAATTCAAGGAGTTTTCAAGGAGTTTAAGGAGTAGCACGAACCCTGTCACTGTAGTTTTTTTTCCTCTTTGACCCCCTATCCTTTGGAAATTCCCAATTTCTCTGTCTGGTGGGTATGAATAATATTTCTGGAACTACACATTAAGCATAAACACCAACATTAATCAATGTATTAAACCCTGGAACAAGCTTTGGAGTGATTGGAGTCAGAGCACTGCTAATGATCAATTAATGGAAATATGGAGAAGGATGAATGGAATAGGAAGAGTGGGATGAATAATTAAATAAATGAATAATTAAATAAAGTTAAAGGTGGACTAATAAGATGAGATGAATGGATAGATGTAGAGATAAAAGGATAAATCATTCAGTGGGTTGGTGGATGGATAAGATGGATGGACGCGATAATAGTTAAATGAATGAATGGATGGATGGATGGATGGCTGGATGGATGGCTGGGTGGTTGGGAAGATGGATGGATGGATGAACCAACAGAAAAAAGAATAGATAAATAATAGGACCCAGATAATAATTTACTTACTTCATTGATCTGTTCTTGTACCATTTCTATCTCATTATTTAACTCATTAACATAGTTAAACAGAGCAAAATTCCTATCTTCTACTTCAATGAACTTATTAACCAGCAAATCAATGTCTTCAATTTCTGTCGAATCTTTGATCTTTCGGAAGGCTGACTCATAAGACTGCAACAGAACAAATTAGAGAGACTTAAAGAAAAAGTATTTTTCATTTTATAGGAGTGTCATGAAGGGGTAATATATGAGCTGGAATTCAACTTTTATTTGCTGGGAAAGTAAATGGGATTTTATGCGGTGATCTGAGGTTTAGACATTACAAAATGGAAAATAAAATGGGAAACAAAATGGGAATGGGATTCAATTTTTCCACAAATTAATTATGATGTAAATAAAATTTAAATCAGGAAGTTGAAATGCAAACATTGCCAAAAAAGTTGTGCAGCAGAATTTTGATATTTGCCTCCAAGCATGTGCAGTAGAGTCAATCGTCCAGTCCCCTTTTTTCCAGTTTTAGGGAGTCTTGATATACAATTGACAATGGTGGGACTGGGATTTGGCAAAATGTGGGCCTGGGAAATGGATTACACTTACCTCAATCGTTTCCTCAGCTTTATCTCCCTTGTCTTTCTCATCCCTTTTCTTTTTGCGGTAACTCATTTCTCCTTCCATCAGTTCTGCTCGTTCTTCTCCTTTTACTCTCATGAACTCCTTCAGCCTTCGCTCATGGTCAATGATACGCTCTAACTCCATGAATTCTGTTTTGTATTGTGCAATGTCTTTGTCGTTCTTTTCTTTCAGTGCAAGCATTTTAGCTTGAGCTTCATCCCTGAGAGAAAGAAAAAGGCTTAACACTTGCAATATTAGGGTGACATTATTTTTGCACTGCGCTGTTCAATTAACTCCTTGTTAATCACCCTTGAAAGGCAAAAACACTAGCTGCAAATGTACATCTCTGAGCCACAAGAAAGAAAGAATGAAAAAGGAATTGAAAGAAAGTAGAAAAATGGGACAGAAAGAAAAAAAGACATCATTGCCACCACACCAAAAAGGAGGAAAAACCCTGGATAAAATTCAATTACCTGGCATCATAAGCAGCAGTAGATGTCTCGATCAATTCACTTGCTTGTCTCTTGTAATCCTGGTAAACCTTGTCCAGTTTTTTATGGCAGTTTTCATAGTACTGTCGTTCTTTCCTTAAATTGTCTATCTCAGATCTGCACTCACTGTTTTCTGCTAGTGCTTTATTGAATTTAACATTTGCCTAAAAATATATATAAAAAAGATTACATGCTCAACTTGCATGTTGATTTTTATGGAGGGAGAAAAAGCAGAGAAGCTGGAGAAAACCCTCGTAGCAAGGGAAAGAACAAACACATCAAAGAAACCCATCACACATGGGACAGAATTAACCCGGAATGGGGGGGGGGGKGGGGGGTGGGTACTCCCCTATATTTGCTATATAGGTACGTGCCGCCAAACGGTATGGTTTTCAGCGATTCTACTCTGGAACAAGGTATATAAAATCGCACTCACTCTGGAACAGGGTATATGAAATCACGCTCTCTCCTCTCTGGATCAGGTACCTATTTTTGCAATACCGGAACAGGGCATGAATTTCAGTGACTTTACTCTGGAACAGGGTCAGGGTTCAGAAGGCTCAGCGGCACATCCCTACCCTAAACGGGAATGGAACTTGCAACCCCACCAGGCCTATACAGCAGTGAGAGACTGTCACCCGTACGAAACGTGCAGCGCTGTGAAGCGCTGCAACAGCGCTTTAAAATGTATGCACAGCGGAAAAGCAGCCAATTTACCTCCTAAATATAGCTATACTGCAGTGGAAGTCATTTTGCMGCGGGCTGTCAAATCGCCATGCAGCTCAAGACAGCGTTTAGTATCGAAATGCAGCCACTTAACAGCGCTGTTCGGCGCAGCTAGATGGCTGTCACGGGCTACAGGATACTACAAGAATCAGTCTTGAGACTAATTCATTGCTAAAGTTAGTTTGAAGCAGCTTTGCAATCTTTTACAAATTTTAATTTAAAAATGTTTAAGCTTATAAACAGCAGTTTATGACCAAAAAATGATTAATTTCAAGATGAAACAACATTGAACAACGGATTTTTTGCATCTAAGCGAGCTAATTTCGCTTTCTCGCTGAAAACACAAACAGGGCTTTTTCATATTTTGAATTTGTTAATTACTTACACTTTAATTTTTCCGACCTTTAATTCCTGATCAGTCTTCTAGCTTGATCAAATAGTTTGCTTGGGTATCGCAGATCGATATAAGCTTAGCATGTACAATATGCAATGAATGARCTGTGTTGCAAGGTCGCCGTCAGCAAACATTTTGAATGTTCGCATGGACTGCTGATAAGCACCAAATTATATCGCTAAACAGGCGCATCAGCTTGACCAGGAATACAGCTAACATCAACCCAGTGCAATTACTTGAAAGCCTAAAAACCAGTATACAGAGGGCAGTTTTGCCAGGTATCATGATGGCAAAAAAAAAAAGGATAATGCGGGATGGGGAAAATCATAACAAATCACTGAGTTAGAGTTCAAGTCCGAGTTCAGCTACATCGGAAAAATATATCAAATTTAACAGGTCTAAATCGATCGAAGGATTCCCCTAAAGACAGTCCAACTCGATTGTAGCTCTAACTTGATGTATTTTACGCGCCCAACTAACCGGAAATGTATCAAATTAACATACCATACCGCTGTTCGAAATCTAGTTACATGACCGCATGACCCCGACGTGTATGAATTTAATTCAGTGATTACTGAAATTGCCTGCGCTCCTAATATACTTAAATAAATAACCGTTATTTTCCCTCAAATTTTATAATGGAACGTTTAAGCAGAAATATGCAAATATGAGCAAGCGTRTAGCACAAGGACGGCGGTGACAGATATGTCCCATTCACCATTGCATAACTAGCCTTAAGAATATATTTAGCTTTAAAATGACCCTTTTAATTTCCTAGTATTACTTTTTTAAGTACGAACTGAACTGAAATTTACAGGGAAAACCGTTCRAAAGTTGTAACATGGAAAGTAAATATTTGACACAAGGGTAATTGAAGTGTCATATATACCCTGCGGTCCCTGAGTGCTTATTTGATACGTATTTGATATCCTTCAAGTCAAATTCCGCATTGACACGAGATCTACATGTGACCAGATCAGAAGTGCATGTTTTAGCGACGTCATGACCCCGTTGAGCGGTATTTTCAAATAAGTGTTCGAGTTCAGTGATCTCAGTTTAAGTCCTTAATTCACAATGTATGCGCTAGTTYGTTGGTTGGACGAAAAGGYTTTATAGTGTAGTTCACGAAGAGGAYATAGTTTTGGGTGAAAATGCAACTCTGGAAGAAGGCACTCTGTATGAAGTAAATGGAGGTAGACAAGTCGAAAAGGCAGCTTCAAGAGATAAAGTCTGTTTCAGGTAATTCTAAACGTAACTTAGTTCTTTTCAGAACTAAAAYAATACGTAGATCGGTGGCATAACCGTGATTTGTTTCTTTTTCTTATTGTTTCTCTTTCACATTTTGCTTTTGTACTATTTGTACTTTTCGACTTTTGCAATTGGCGCCCATTTTAATGTTTGCACTCTGAGCTGAATTTAATCTACTAGTTGTTTATTTGGGTACTATATGCCCGACTATATGTTTGGCTAGTCAATCTGCAAATGTGTATTTAATGTCAAACAATTTAATGTTTTTTCTAAATTTCTTTTATTATCAAATGATCTTTTATTTAGACCAAAGCTTGCATAATTATTGTAGGCGGGAACCTTTTTTATGTCTTATCTCCGGACACAAATGGTTCCTCGTAGGTGAATCGATCATTCGCCTTCCACATTACAAGTTATCACTAAACATAATAGCTCTTCTTACACCTATATTTTCTTGCGCATTTTTAGTATATGCCAAACGATGTGTTACAGTTTGGAAGACATAGGACTAAAGACAGACTTCGCCAAGACAATCCGGAGCAAGAGGGGATCCGCCAAAAGGAAATTTAACAAGCGGCTTTTAAGAACATAAGATAAGAACGTTCGTTTAATTTGATTTTTCTTACTCGGCTATTAAATGTTTTATTGAGACCGCTCTGCTTTTTGTAATATAAGATATATGTGTTTCCGTTTTTACATGTTTCGCATCTCCGAGTAATGCTAAATTGGTCATTGTATTAAATAGGTTATCGCGTGTGAATGTCGTTCAACCACATTCTCAATATTATATTTAGGCAGCAGTGAGCGAACTAGTAATTTAGAATGCCTAATATATGTCATTGCCTAATTAAATATTATCAAAAAATATTAGTCTTGCGTGTCTTTCAACAGCGCTTTGTTCAACAGTTGATGAAACGTGTTTCATGTCTTTCAACTGCGGCTTCCATATCGCTGTTTTCGCAGCCTTTTAGCAGCCTTCCCTCGTTATAAAACAAGCGCTGCAGATTCGCTGTTATTGGTTGAATTTTCGCTGCCAAGCGCTGTCGGAAACAGCCAAAATTCACAACTGCGGCAGCCCCCCATTTTACAGCGTTTTTACAGCGTTTTTACAGCGCTGTTACAGCGCTTCGTGAGGCGCTGTTGCAGCGCTTCACAGCGCTTCACATTTCGTACGGGCATTGCCACCCACAATGGCCAAAGGGCTAAAGTATTCACTGTAATGTAACACTTATAGAGTCATTAAACTGATGATGGACGATGGACATCGTCCGAAATAACTATTCAAGAAACTTCTAGTTATTCTTTTTGTCTATAAACTCTAAGCCCAAAGAAACATTTTCACATTTTAAATATTGAATTTACCTTGTCCAGTCTATTTTCTAACACTCTGATTTGTTTCTGTGTTTGTACATGCCTTGCATGGCTCATATGAACACTAAGAAATATTAAGAAAAGAATAAAAATTAACAAAAGTAAAACTACAATTTTCGTAGAAGATAATATAGGTAAGTTGTAGTGCTTGGGAACGAGGTTATTCCGGGTGAAAGCCCTTGGAATTAAATTCGGAAAAATTAATTTCCGACCTCGTACTACAATTTTCGTAGAGAAGTATTCAGGGCTAGTTTAGCAATAGCCATAAAGAACTGAGGGGAAACAAAGTCACTTTACAACATGTGAACATGTGAAAAAAAAATTTGCACATGCAAAAATTTCCTGGATACGTGTGGACGGGCCTTATAGTCCCCTTCACAGTTCCCTGTACCATCTTGAAAGGTACGTAGCTGTGCCTTTGCATCAAAGTGAGACGAACAGTGAGCTTGCAATGATAGAGACATTATTTTAACAACTTAGACAATAATTATTATTTATGAGTCTCTATCATTGCAAGCTCATTGTTCATCTCGTTTCAATGCAAAGGCACGGCTACTTTTCAAGATGGCGCAGGGAACTGTAAAAGGGACTATTGGGAAATTGAGGGATACACTCCTCCCCCCTCCTTGAGCAGTGGGCACTAGGACCCTGGTATTAAAAGTACTTATTTTATAGCTAGAGACCTTGGTGAGACCAATAGTCCTTGCATATCATTGGCAATCAATGAAATTGTTCTCTTATCTTATTTTTTTAATTACTTACCCGCCCATGTTCTTTCTTTGTTGACTGATTTTCTTTTCCATTATTCTTATCTAAGAATAAAATTTCAATTTTGAAATCAAAACAATTACTTTCAGAAGCAATATCATCACATGAGGGAAAACAGGATAAGGAAGAAAGAAAGAAAAAAGAGAAAGAAAGGCAAAGAGAATTAAATTCTAATTTTTTAATAAGAATTGTCAAGACTGTTTGGTTTGAGAGTAAAAAAAGGAAAGAAAATGAGAATGGTTGAATATTCTGCTTCAGCTAGTGGCAGAGCTGATTAAATGTCATTGTACTGTAATTCTTTTGTTTCACTAGAACCTCAAAATGCTTTGTGCTTCGTCATCAGCCAGAATATCAAATGTTGGCTATTTCAATTATTAATAAATAGATTATTATTATTATTATATTTTATTTCATTTGTCATACCTGATTACTTAGATCATTAATGTCATCTTTGACTGCCTGCAATTCTTCTCTTAAAGTATCTGAGGAGGATAAAATAACGTTATATTAATTCATTCAATATTGATTATCATGTCATAAATATATATTCAGTACAACATCAAGTTTCTAATATTTATTATATCACATATAATGTGTAGTTCCAGAAATTATCCATACCCACCAGAATTTTTGAAGGGCAGGGGGAACAGAGAAAGAACAAAAATTGCAGAGTTTGTATGAAAGAAAATTGGAAGTTCTAGGGGTAGGGGGGTCTTTAAAAAAATCCTACATGAGGGGGGTATGGATAATTTGTGGAACTAAACAATAGACCCTTTCGGCTCGGGCATAATGTTTTGCCCATTTCAGACCACGTGTCATTCTCTTAAGTATAAGATTCTTTTTATAAATTGCAGCCATATCCATGTGTCTTCTCATGTGCAACCATTAAACAAAGAAATGATACTCAAGACAATGGCACATGATCTAAAAATGGGAAACATTACAGAGGTCTATTCTCTTTTCTCACCTTCTTCATTAAGTTTTTCATGTAAGGTATCAGTATTTACTGCATCCTGGTAATAAAAAATAATTGTGTTACTCAATAATAATGAAAAATGTAGAAACTTAGAAACCCTAAACACCTAAAATATGTCTGGAGTGTTAAAAATTGTGTTCTGACCAATCACGTGCGACAGTCAATTAGAAATGAATTCATTCTTACTTGCGATAGGCCAGAATACGATACTAACCATTCCAGTCACTTTTTAGGTGTATGAGCAATATTGCACAGGTAGTCACATGTGTGTCCGTACATTAATAGTTGGGGCTGAAAATTTAGTTAATACTAGCAGAGAGTGTAGGGGTAGTGGAAATTAAATATTATAATATTAGCATTTATTTATTTTACCTTATTGATATTCTGTTCACTCCCAGCAAGTCTGTTGTCCTTCATCAGCTCTTCATTTTCCTTCTGAAGTGCTTCGATAGCAGCTCTGTTATCAAGGAAATGATTACTATCATTAAATACTATTATGTTGGTAAAGCAAAGGCATGCCGTAAAATTAATTCTGATTACTAGCCGTCTAAACATAATGTGATTATCATTCTTTCATGCTATATCAGTTCTAGCGTCCTATATATATGTGTGTCTCTTTGTTTTAGGGTTTATCGCTTGTTCCTTTGACAGTATAATAATAATAATATTTATTTATATAGCACAGATATATGAAACTCTGTTTGCGCTTTACAATGATAAGAAGCAAAATAAAAATATAATGTGTAGATTATTGCACCCAAGGAAACTGAGAGTAGGTGAGCCCCTCCAAAGGGATCCCAAAAAGGCAAACAGGCTATATCAGCACCATTGTTCTCTACACTCCTGTTACCTCACTTGATTGACAGACAGTTTAAACAGTCACTGTTAATAACTGACCTCTGTTTTCTTATTGTATTTTGGGATTCTTCACTGTAGGCCTTGCGATCACCTTCCATTATTCGGTACTGTCGTTGAAGCTTGGCCAGCTCTTGCTCAGCTGTTAGAGAAAGCAAAATTTAAATTCAACCCTTTTTTTCGATTATGATATTTTTTCTAACTTATTAGAGTATTGCATTATTAACAAAATATCCAATAAGTTTGTGATGGTATAAGTGTCATATTTCTCAAGGGGGAGGGGTGGGAGTGGCTATGGATCTTAGCGAAATATATAAGTTTCATTCAAAGTTCAATAAATATCTTTATTTAGATGCTCGATAAATCTAGTCACTAATTCATTGGACCCCTGTTTACTCACCAATGCCATCTAGCTCTGCCTCGCTAGTATCTGAACGTCTACTCTGTGCCCTCTGCATGTTGATGGTCTCTAAAACATATATCACAAAAAAAATGTAAGCGAGCAATGTTTTATGTTGTAGTTGAACCGCAAAAACGATAAATATCTCTTTCTTAACGATGAGAAGTTTAAAAATATATCTTTTTTAGAAGAAAAATAAGAATTAGAATCAGCTCGAGCTAAAGTAATTTCAAGGACGAACTCGAAAATGTCGAGGAGACGTTCGTCGACTTCCATAGAAAATTCTCTATAAAAGCTTTTTATCTGTATAAACCAGTAAAAAGAATTTCCAAAGTCTTATTCGGGATTTTTTTAAACCGGATAGATACCGCTCTTCTTCTACAAAATAAATTTGGACAGTTTTCTAATGGAAATTGGAAAGGCGTCCGAAATTCTAAACGAAAATTCGAAAACGAGTAATTTAATTCTAAAAAAATAAAAATAATTCAACAAATTTTTTACTTACCGAATTATTAACTTAAAGACTAGGGATTTTTCTTGTAAATGCGTTTTAAGAGTGTGTATTTGTTGTTTTTCTGGGGAGGTTTTCGGTGATTTGTTTTAATGGTCGCCAACAAACTCTGTTTTCTTGACAAAATGTTACCCTGTTGTCATAGTAACCGACATCAGCTGGAAAAAAGACCGCAGGCTCTTCTTTTTAGTCCCTAGTGTTCGCTCTCTTTGCGCAGACACAGGAAACCCACTCGTGCGTTCAAAACAAACCAAATATCAAAACGATGAAAAAATAGAAACAAAAGCATAAAAAAATATTTAAATCTTCAAGAGAAGGGAATGGTTTTGTTTTGTCCGCCAGATTAGAAATTATTACGATAAATACTACATTTTCCAACACAAAAATTATTTTACAAGGTCATTGGATTCACCGTGTAGTATATTATRTAGTCTTTTTTACTCCGACGAAGGACTAGCGTCAGGAACGTCAGTAAGTTTTTTCATCTTTTCACGGTGTAAAATTTATCCTTTTATCATTACTGTGTAATACAATGCACTTGTCCCGGACCCTCGTCTCCCGTGACAGGGCGGGTAATTGGCTATTCTCTACTTTCACATCCCTATAATACTTTGCGTCTTTGGGGGGTAACCAGAAGGTATAAACCCACTTATTTTGTTGAAGCCTGATCAGACAATGTTGAAAGTACCTTGTTTGGTTTCCAAAAATAAAATGAAGAAGTAAAAAACAGAAAAAGATAGAAGCTTGAAGACGTTTAAGGTAAATTTTAAACATTCGTAAGTCGATCCAATACATTTTCTGTGAGACCAAAACTCTTGATGATCTGTACACGCAAAAATAACTTGGAATAAACTGATAATCAGTATTGTTCAGATAAAAGCAGGTATAGTATAAATTCAATTAAGAAACCTTTCAAATTTGGGACAGTTTTTTTGATTGGTTACCCCTCGAAAGATACAAGGCATTATGGGGATATGAAAATAGAGAATTCTATAGGAAACATTTCCTATGTAGAATGCCATCACGTGACCTGTTGGCTAATATCTATTTCTAAACTGATTTGCCAACAAGCATGTATAGTGGCCTATTTACGATAACTTTCGTTGAACACCAGTTTTAAGACTTGGTTTCCCGCGGAGCAAAGCGATTGACACTATGTTCTAACCAGTTACGTAATAAAACTTTGACATTCATAACAAAAATATATTATATTTTTGACTTCAGATATAATTTTTCCGGTTAATTTAATGCTGAAACAGATCATTCATTTAAATTGCTGATTTTCTTTGACCCAAACTTCGTAATACCGAATGAGTAGCGAGCGAAATAGCGGGGAAAAAGCTGATCGATGTTATAGAGTTAATAAGGTCTAGGGCAAACGTCGAACTTTCCATTCACCGAAATTAATTACATCAAAGAATGTCGCCTCATTATCACCTGATATCTATTGTTTTTAATGAGTTCGGTGCATGGGAAGTTCGACGTTTGCCCTAGGCCTAAGAACCCTATAGCTTTTGTACCTAAGGAAGAATAAAAGAAAGAAAGAGAGAAAGAAAAAGTGAATGAAGAAGAGAGAAAATATGAGAACGAAAGTAGGAAGGAAGGAAGAAAAGTATGATATAAAACCCACCATCGCTTGAAGCGTATAATAAGAGTAAAAATTTAGCCTGGTTTTAAAACCTTCGGCTGGTCAGCGGTCAACTTTGTTTACCCTGGCCGGTACAAGTGGTGTGATTCAATCCACTGTTTTGTATGAAAATATAACTTTTTGTAAAGTTGTTTTAATGTTCTTGTTGAACCCACTATACATTCATTTAACTTCTATTCAAGATTAATGAAATTTCAATCACAGCAACACTTTTCAAAATGGACCACACCTTTTCGGGTAAATGTTTTTTACACGTCTTCAGTTTTTCCTAAACACCAGAGAAATTTTGACAGATTCACTAACGCGTTTGACACTTGCTTAAGAAGACGATAACTAGGCGCACTTTTGTTGGTTCTCTTACAATAACAATATCAGGATTCTGACCGTGAAAAATACATGTAATTGTTTAATCTAGACCTGAAATTGCCACGTATGATTTTACCTTAAAAATACTCGATCTTTAACTCGTTAAAGCACGGCTTTATGAACTTACGTGAAAAAAAATCGGTTAGCGAAGTCCGAAATAGATGTAATAGTATAAAATTTCGGTTTGAAGTGGAGGTTTTTTTGTGTGTTATTAAGATTCATGTAGTTTCTCAGTTGGGCTATAAGGAAACTCTGGAAACTTACTAAGCTGTTTGTCTCAATAAATCTCATCGCTCACGTTGAGCCTAATGCGTTTTTGACCTCGAAAATATTAACAATAAAAAGATACGTTTTTCGACACCTTCCAGCATCGGTTCTGTGTTATAACAGTGGTATTTTCAAAGCATTTGACAGCGTAAAAGTTGTTTTGAAACGTGTACGGAACATGTAAACAAAAGAGTCCATTCCCCGTTCTGAACTCCAAAACAACAAGCAACGAAATCTTACATCAGTGGTTTGAAAATCAAAACAACAGGCTGGAGTGAAGTAAGGTGATTGTTGGCAGCAGTTCATTTAGTTCTACCCTTTTGACCCGCTTGCATTAACGACACTATCTCGGTAAGTCAGTCGATCTTTGATCTTCAATCTTCACTTTCTCCTCTTCAACTGGATTTGTCTAATTTCCAAATTCATTTCGTACCACCTCTTTTCATAATTTTTTTTTTCCATTTTTTTAATTTAAAATAAAAAATTCACTGTTATCGAAATAATAGTAAAAATTTTCAAAAGCTTCCTCAGTTTAAAAAGTCAGTTAATGAGTGCAACCTTATTACTTTAAAAAGCTGCTTTAAAATCGTAAATATACGCCTGTTTGTTATCTCGAAATTTTATTTCTGCATTGATAAACTTAAAATCAGAAAAACTTATCACATTTTTTTTATAAAGTACTTCGATATACTTCAAATTTTCTCCGAAGTTAATTTTTGAAGTTAAGTTTTCAACTGCCTTCTCTGTTAGAAAATTTGAGGTATCATCGTCTAACTTTAAAAAGCATTTCTTAGCTTTTAACCAACGTACTTTGTTAACCATCTCAACGTATGACCATGCAACAGTCAGTATTGCGAAACTTGCACTGTATTTCAAATGAGTTCTAACTTTTTTTTTTTTTTCTTTTAAATTTTTATTATTATTTAAGTTTTTCTGGAATATTTCAATTTTGACTTAATTTAGGGCCCTTTCTTTTGTAAGGTTTAGTTTAAGGAGTAATATGATGCTTAAAATATGACGTTTCACATAATTTCATTCATTCTTGTGGTAAAATCCCAGTATTCCGTTACTGAATATATCTAGTGTGACTCAAAAACCTTTTTTCACGATTAAAAGATGGAACCAAGTTAGCTTTTATATCCATTTTTAAAGATTTTTCACAGACATTTTATTTTTAGAAAATTTGTAGGATTTAGTCACTTCACAAAATCATGAATAACACATTATTTATAGATCAGTGGGTTATTATCATTCATCACCCGCCATTGCCCGAAGCCGTTATCAAAACATACTTTGTTCACTTGCAGGTTGTTTAAATAAGGAGTAATTTTTTCCCTGTCACAGACACTGTACTAGAAACCTAATTTATGAAAATTGTGTTTAAGAAAATAAATAGAACGCGATTGTCCTTGTCTTCGTCCTTTTCCTTATTTTTCTTTTCCTTTAAAAAAATACAATTTCAATAGCTCCCATCGTTGAATTATTCTACAGGTGATCAAAAGAAGACTTCATCATGAGACTCTTGATCATTCTCGCCGTCCTTTTTGCTATCGCTTATGGAGCACCAACCTTAAACCTGGGTAAGAATTATTAACCTTCTTATACCGCATCATACACCAAGAAACTTCTCTAATCTTGAGCTTCAGTTTTGTTACTTTAGTATAAAAGTAATTTCAATGTCTACAGTATTCTTGTCGAAATCTGGAATTCTTTAAAATTCTTGCGATTAAAATGTATAACATTCGTCGTCTTTCTTCCTTTGAATTCGTACTTGGACCTTTTTTGTAGTAGAGTGTGAAAACTACAAGGTCCCTTCACTGGATGTGAACTCCATTAGACCATGACTATTTCACATCCAGTGAAAGGACCTTTTTCGTAGTTGAAGAGGTCTTTTCGCTGGATGCGAACTCCATTAGACCATGACAATTTCACATCTAGTGAAAGGACCTATTTCGTAGCTGAAGAGGTCCTTTCGCTGGATGTGAACTCCATTAGACCATGACTATTTCACATCTAGTGAAAGGACCTGTTTCGTAGCTGAAGAGNAGGTCCTTTCGCTGGATGTGAACTCCATTAGACCATGACTATTTCACATCTAGTGAAAGGACCTGTTTCGTAGCTGAAGAGGTCCTTTCGCTGGAGGGATGTGAGACGTTTGCAAAACTTTGCACAAAAGGAATTTAGAATGATGTCTTTTTTTCCTGACTACACAGAAAAGGACCCCTTGATGGCTGAAAGCAATGCTAATGCCACCGAAGCTGTCCCAGAATCATCTGAACTGGAACCTGAACCTAAAGATATGGCAGGGGACGCTCCCAAGTCAGAAGCCATGCCCAAGGATGAGGCAACAGTAGAGGATTCTCCATCTGAATTAAAGAATGATGATGCTTCAGCCGCCAGTGAGTCCCAGAATGATGACAACTTCAGTGAAGAAGGTGATAATGATTTCGATGAAGATGAAGACGATGAAGACGATGAAGATGATGAAGATGATGAAGATGATGAAGATGATGCTGAAGAATCTGGCGACAGTGACGACAGCGAGGAGTCTGGTGATAGTGACGACAGCGAGGAGTCTGGCGACAGTGACGACAGCGAGGAGTCTGGNGGCGACAGTGACGACAGCGAGGAGTCTGGTGATAGTGACGACAGCGAGGAGTCTGGCGACAGTGACGACAGCGAGGAGTCTGGTGATAGTGACGAAAGCGAGGAGTCCGGAGACAGCGATGATGGTGAGGAGTCTGGTGACGAAGATGACAGCGAGGAGTCTGGCGAGAGTGGTGACAGCGAGGAGTCTGGTGATAGTGACGACGGCGAGGAGTCTGGCGACAGTGACGACAGCGAGGAGTCTGGCGACAGTGACGACAGCGAGGAGTCTGGCGACAGCGACGACAGTGAGGAGTCTGGCGACAGCGACGACAGCGAAGAGTCTGGCGATAGTGACGACAGCGAGGAATCTGGCGACAGTGACGACAGCGAGGAGTCTGGCGACAGTGACGACAGCGAGGAGTCTGGCGACAGTGACGACAGCGAGGAATCTGGTGATGAAGATGACAGCGAGGAGTCTGGCGATGAGGAAGACAGCGATGAAGAATAAGCGCCATATCAAGTACAATGATTAACAACTCAACTCCTGAGATTTTAATTCTCAGAGACTGTCCACACATGATGTGTATGTACACTAATGTACATTATGTATACATGCAATACTTAGACGTTATCTCTAAAGAGATACAACTAAGACCATTGGTTTATATATTTATATATATATAAATATTTGTCGTGCTATATGATCAATAAAATACAAATATTATATACAGAATTAATCTTTGATGGCCGACAATTACTTATCATTTATGAAAAGCTTATAATTCTTTGGGAGTGTTGTTAATATATAATCAAGTTAAACCAACAAAAGGAAATCAACGAAGGTTCTGGTATAAACTGAATGGTGTCGCCTGGACGAGCGATAAAAGTGAGAAACTTATTTATTCACGCTAACATATTCAACTAGTGCTGATTTCCAATATGGTCGTGTAGCCCATTGCAGTATAATTTAGGGCACAGTCTAAAGTCAGGATAAGCTATTTACTCTTTCATTCATATTCTCTTCAATACTAGTAAAGAATTCGTAGCAAAAGACCTCTTATCCATTCTTAGTGCTGACTTCACCTCAATTCCCTTCGCACATGGAGCAGACACACTGATTCTCTTTGAATCAAGTTTTGACATCAGAAATTAACACTGGCCAAAGTCTGGCAGCAATGAAAAACTCCATCATCGAACATTCCAAATTTGAGCTTGGATCAAAAGAAACTAAGATTAATAAAAAAGCATGACAGGATCGAATGTATGCTTTATAGCATTGGAAAGATGTTTCCAACCAAAAGATAAAACTGCCTTAATAAGTAAAAGCAAAAATAACTTTAAATTCTGAAAAAAATCAAAAACGAAACATCACACTTAAACTAAATTTCAAATACTAAAGGAAAAGTTTCAAAATGGGAATACTCAAGATTTAAAACGAATGGAAAAGGGCTTTCTTCACGTCGATTTAAACAAGGATTACCTCATTAGCCTAACGTTTGAAACGAAAGGTTTTTGGCTTGGTTTATTTTGATTCTTGGTTTGTGAGTTTATTTTTGGTTTTCCGAGCGTACCACACACATCGCCAACTACCAAACACGCCGTATTTTGCGAATAATTTTCAAGGTTTTTACTTCAAAAATTGCCTATTCTTGAAGAAAGGATCTCACAAATACTCGTCTCAAATCGGAGCTTTTTGAAAGTAAAAAACGAAAAGTATAAATTCGTTCAATCGACCACAGATTCTACATCAGTAATTTAGAATGTGTGTATTTTAAGGATCGACCCCGGCAAATGAGGTAACTAGCTCTGATTTTGAGAAATGTTGTTTATAATATTTGACCTTTTGTGTTTTTCTTGCAATTTAACAAAGCACATATCGCAAGAAGCCTGTTAAAATCTAACTATCGAGACGAAAAGGTTTTTCCAAACAAATTAAAGTATGTTTGGTAAAATTCAAATGCTTTAATGTTATATATTGTTCTTCTACCCCGGCAAGTGGAAAACTGTTTACACAGAAATTTATAAATCGAAAACTATCTTGACTCTCTATACATTTCTCTGTAAAATCTAACTTAACTCGCCAAACACTTTCAAGCGACACCGCTGCATTTGTACGCGGGCGCATGACCGGAATAGTTGGCGATGCTGACATAAGTTATAAAAAATATAGCTAAACAATGAATATTTTTTCGCTATCTCGAACAGATCTATGCAGCATTTCCTCTTTCTTACTCTTAGACCTCCAAATTAATTTTTCATATACTTTATTTGTGGTTCCATCATTTTTATTTGATGAATTGAAAACACGAACGCCAGTGAACAGATTTGCTTTGTATTCAACGTCTCAGTTCTCCCGGTAACACTCGTGTGGTCTAAATTTGAAAAAAAGCCACGTTTTGTGTTGGAATTTCAAGAGGTTGATCGTTTGTAACCAGATTTTCTTACATTAAGCGGTTTCTGGGGGAAATTTCAGAACTTTTGTGCTATCACCTGAGACTCTATGGACAATAAAATATCAATTATTCACAAAACGTTTAACGCTTTTGAACTTTACTCCTATTTCTCAGTCTACGGCAAACCAAGTTTCTTTCAGTGAAAATTCTTTTTCCAGTTCACTATAAGCTATTATAAAATATCTGTTCTAATTCTCGCGTTCTGATTGGTTGGGAGCGAGCGCGTGCTTTATGAGAGCACACAGCACGCTCGCGTACTTTTAGTTTTGTCATTCACTCCGCTACGCGTCGTGCTTCCGTACTAACACTTCTCTCGTGTTCTGCCAGTCGACCCCGCGTGCTTTATAACTCCACACAGCGTTTTCTATTTCTTCAGTTTAATTTCCTCATAATGCTGATAGAAAAGAAATGAATTGCTCCATAATAGTGCAAATTTGCGTGAATTTGCAATTGATATTTTCCCCAAAACCTGAAAAGGTTTACCAGATATCTAAAATAGGAATAATAGTAAATAGAAACAGATAGAAACCCGCGACGAATTAGTAAAACTAAATAGTACTGAATTATTCAAAAGTCATTGTTTTGTGAGCTGTTTTAAAACCACTATCAGTTTTAGCACGAGTTGGTTTGCACTCTTTGCAAGCGCTGCTGGAGTTCCATTGAGCAAATTATTCCTTTTGGGAAATACAAAAATGACGTTAGTCTATAGTTTATTTTTTAAAATCATTAATGTGTCTATCGTTATTTGTGGTTTTAGGTCGATAGAAAAAGGCGCCAAAGGACGGTCTAGCATGACTGCAAACTCACGCAGCCGTAACCTTCAGGAATCAAACCAATAAAGACAAAGAAAAAACAAAGTGCTGCTTGAAGCAGAACTCTATAAATATACTAGCAGGGCATAATTTGTACGCCATTAGAACGTATTCTCCAAGCGTGGTGTGCAGCTTAAGAATTGCTTCTCTTTAAATTACGTTTTAAAATGAAATATTTCATTATTTTTCTCGTCTTAATGCAGGTCTTTAATGGACTTGCTTTGCCTGCAAAAAAACCGAGTAACCTCAAGAAGTTATTGGAAATAATAGCGTTAAGGAGTAACGGTAAGCTTTCTAGTTATTGTATTAGCGATTATATATTTTTTATAAACCAAATTTGATAGTCAAAATTGAAAGCCTAGAAAATTTTTGAACGGGAATTAGATAGCTATCAAAACAATAAAAACAAAATATCATCATTCATTGTTTAGATATTGAAAGAATTAACTTCACTCCCGATTCGAATTAATACTTCATTTTTTAAAAAAAGGAGGGATTAACAGTTTAATAGAGTCAATAGTTTTTAAAGAGAAAAACTAGAGCTCTGAAAAAAGGAGCGATTTTTTGAAGATAGTCAAGTTTATTAAATAACATATGCGCACGACTTATTGTCGAATGTATTTTCCCGCGCAAAACATTAGCGGAAAAGCGCGCGCGCCCATTCTTAAGAATAAGATACCGTTAAAAGCTTTTCTCGTTAGATTAAAAATCCTCATTAAATAGATACATGCAGATACATTCTTACCAATTAATATTTTTACTTCGTTCTATGCACTTTTAGAAATTGTATAAAATTTTAAGCGGAAATTATTTTAGGCGCGCATTTCATCTTCGCCATTGACCCATGAAAATCATGCTTTTATCAAGATTAGGTGTGTTTTCAAATGACCTTTAAAATCTAAGTCCATATTTTTTCGATCTATTTTTTTTTCCGAGAGAACCACAAAACGTTAATTAAACTCCGTTTGGAAGTAATATTAGATTTTCAAAGTGATTATTGATTGATTATTTTATTTCTAAACTCATACATTGCTCGCTGGACTGAATAATTAATATCTAAAATGATACTATAAAGTTTAAATTAAAACAAAGCTGCAAAGTTACAGTTAGTTTTATAATTCAATTGATTATATGAAAAGCTTTCGCAAATTTGATTTATTGTCGATTTTTTTTGTTCTTTCTTTGTAGATAATCCTGAGGAATTGGCTTTTATGTCAGAGGATAATAGTAAGGAATATTGTTCATGCGCTTATGTGGCAGATTGCTCTTTCTTCTAAAGCTTCCCTTCTCAGCTTTAGTTTCATATTAATCTTGTCTAATTCTGAAGATAAATTCTCAGATTCTCTTTCTTACTCTTTTACATTTTATTTTTTTCCTTCTTGCCCGAGTGAATAAAAAGTAAAAACTTGTCTCTCAAATTTTCCTTCCAACATCTTTATTTCTATCTCTTTCTAGTCGGGGAAACACACACACACAAAACTCAAATGTTCCTTCCAACGCCTTTATTTCTATCTTATTTCTTCTAGTTTTCAACAGTAATTTATTTGAAGAAGACATCTTTCTAGATGGCAGTACGTCTGATATCTTCAACCAACTGCTCAGTCCCAGCAGAGAGGCCTTGGTAAACCCAGTATCTCGCTGGCCTAATGGCCGCATACCTTACGTGTTCGGCCCTGTTAGTAAGTAAAAACATATCGCAGTGTTTTACCATGTTATCAGAGCAAGGTTTAACATGGAGATCTGGCAGTACAGAAACGTGGTGCAGTGTCTGTGACCGAGACGTGCCTACATTGCGAGCAGAGGTTTTTTTCCCCCTCCAGTAAAGGCGACTCTGAGCGACTCTCGATCCGAGATATGCTTTGCTTGCCACGCACAAAGGCTTCAATGTGAGGCTTCGTGCATAATGCTCAGTGATTCGTGACAAGCGAAAAGAATTAATTCAAATTAACACGTCGCCTCTTACTGAAACTAGGGACCTTAAGCTGCAGGACGGCAACGTGGGCGACAACGTCGGCGAAATTGAAGCGCTTCAACCTTCTATCGCATTATAATTTAGAGTTTACCTAGTATTTTACTCAATAAGCATCCCCGTTTTAGAGTGAAATGTCGTCTTTTGGGAGCGCTTTACTTATAACGAAAATCAGCAAAGTTAAGCTTTTGGCGTAGCAGTTCTCTTTAGTACGTAAAAATAGGACATTTCACGTCTTATTCTCAGCATAAGACGGCAATGACGCACAGTATTTTGTACATTACGACGACTATCTATTGAAAAGCGCAATTAGTGCTATTGTATGTTTGCCGTCGTCGTCGTCGTTGCCGTCCTGCAGCTTAAGGTCCCTACTTTTGTGCTTGAAAAGCCGGCGAAGCATATCTCGGAAGTGGGCTATTACGAATTCTTTCAATTGTAAGAATTAAAGTGCAATTATTTTTCAGCTACGTTGGTAAAGAATACCTTCCACGCAGCAGTCAAAGAGTACGAGAAGCACACCTGCATTAAGATAGTACCCAGGACGTCAGAGAGAGATTACCTCTATATCGTCAGTGAGGGAGGGTAAGTACGGGCCTTTGAGCCCGTAAGGCGGGAATCAAATCGCTTACGTCTCATCTTTGGGATTTCTGGTTGGATTCCTGAACTCGGCATAACATGTAAAATTTCTTTGCATAATTCAAAAGATTTTCTCTAAATTTTGTTGTCTGTGGGTAGTTTCAAAGGTCGTCCAGTTCAGTTTCTTCCCCAAGAAAAAAAAAAAAAAAAAAAAAAACTCGCTAAAATCCCAGCACAGCTCGACCCAACGCTGTGGTCATATGTTCGATCCCTACATCATCATCTGTGAGTAGAGTTGCTTGTTCGTCGTTCTTCTCTGTCCTTCGAGCCGCTTATTCTCCGGTTTCTTCAGTTTTTCTTACTCCACAAAAATCAACTTCTAAATTGCAATTAATTTAGTCATAATTATCTGGCATGGCTCAAAAGACAGAGCAATCAATCCCTGCGTGATCGACGTAAAATAAATAGGACTTTTCATATATGATATTGTAGGTGCTGGTCTTCAATAGGTCGAAGTGGATACAGGCAGAAGCTTTCTATTGGTCGAAACTGTGAACGCAAAGGAATCGTGATGCACGAGTTGATGCATACGTTAGGATTCTTTCACGAGCAGTCGAGACTGGACAGGGATGACTTCGTTACCATTCATTGGGAGAACATTGATCCGAGTAAGTGAGATATCATCAAGATAACTATCATCATCATCATCATCATCGTCACCGTCATTATCATTATCATGATCACTATCACTATCACCAACACCATTATCATCATCATCACCGTCATTGCACAATGATCACTATCACTATCACCACCAACATCATCATCATCATCACCAACATTGTCTTTATCTTCTTCATTATTAGCAACAGAAACAGCAGCGGTAGTAGCGGCAAGTTAAATCCACTTTTCTTTGATCTCTCCCTTTAACAGAGAGACGTTACAACTTCCAGAAGTACGAACACGGTAAAGCAGATTCCCTGGGTTTCGACTACGACTACGAGTCCATCATGCACTACCCAATGTATTCCTTCACATCCAACGGACGCGCCACGATCGTTCCTAAAGACCCCAAAGCCAAGATTGGACAGAGAAAAAAATTTAGTGAAATTGATATTGCACAACTTAACAAATTTTACAATTGTCCTAAAAAAACCGCTGCACTCCCTACGACGCCTGCTCCAACTACGACTCCTGCTCCTCCAACTAAGCCGACAGGTAAGTTGAATGTGAAATTATTCTAACGAACGGACGAACGGACGAACGGACGAACGGACGAACGAACGAACGACAGAAAGACAACAAATTAGACAAACCAACAAAAAAGTTTAGGTAGACAAACACGTAAACAAACATGCAATCTACCAAGACCAATGCTTACCAACGTTTCACAGGAAGAAAGAAAGAATGCTAAATGTAATGACAATCCTGAATAAGGAAAAAAACCACTAGACACAAAAGGTCAATGCAATTGCGTGTCCGTTTCGTATCACGTGCTCAAAAGAAGTTTGTCTTTGTTGATTTCAGAGCCATGCTTGGATACACTGTCCACGTGTTGGTACTACGCCTGGTTTGGATACTGTGATTATTACTTTGAATTCATGACAACAAACTGCAGAAAATCTTGTTATCGCTGCTGAGACGGTAGGATTTGGTTAGCATCGGGTAGGGTCAGCTTTTACGTGAGGAGGAGAAGGAGAGGGAAGGGGGGGACATTTACCCAAATATGATCATTTTCCCGTAAGAGGGCTTCACCCAAATGATCATGACAAATCCTCCCTCCCTCCCCTCCCCCAAAACACATTGTCAAGAAAACTTGTCTAGATTTCATAGTACTGCAACTTGTTTCCTCATGTTCTTTCTTCTCCTTCATTTTCAGGAGGTCATTCCCGCGTCGTAAGCTCACTATCTACCAAGTATATCTACAAAGCTTTTTGCTGTTGTATCACAGCGTGGGACAATCACAACAGATCTAGGCTCCAAACTAAGTGAAAGCCCAAAGATCGATCCTATATATCCTATACTGTACCTGCTGTACTTTGCTATAGAGCGTTTTCACTCACGTGAGAAGACAGCCATAAACAATAGAAACTTTCTACACAGCATTTGCATAAAATAGAGTTCAGTTCCCGGAGGATTGAAAATGTATTGTTTTGGTACCCCATAATGCCCGCTGTGACGTCACGTGAAAACGCTCTATAGTCGTCAGTAACCTAAAATCGAGCGCGGTCATTATAACTTATATATCATTCATTTTTGATTTGGGTAGGTTAATTTAAACAGATTAAATAAATAAATAATAAATTTAAAATCAACTATGTTGATGTTTCCATGAAGCTTTAAATTTTCCTACATGTTGATGCTCCCAATCATTTCCAAGAGTTTCAAACGAGAAAGACATGGCGGCCATGTTGGTGGAATTGACAATGGATGTTAATGAGAAATATTTCGTTAAATAAATACCACCAACATGGCGGCTATGGTGTAAAGTACAAGCGAAGAATTTACTCAGCCTGACATATTTGCACCTGCGTATATCATAAGCAGCGGTTGTTCACTATTTTCCAGTCTCTCTCAGCTACTCTATCACGACTGGTTAATTTTCTGTTATAATGTTTTTCGAGGTCGAGGTAGGCCGAACTGGGAGTACTGGCCAAAGGGTTGAAAGAGATTTTCCTGTGTTCATCACTCAATCGTTTGACTCAGGCATAGATATACTTGTGACAAACAAATTAAAATAGTGGGTGCATATAAACTACAAAAGAATTCTCATATTTAAAATTTTCCTTATCTATATTCTATATTCATCATTGTACAACTATTATACAACGGTTTTCTTATGAATAACGCATGTGTTTTGATTGGTTCTAACGGAACCACGTGATTGTCGGCACGATAACTATGGTAACATATAGTACCACAGATCTTTGAGCTGGGCTATCGACGTTAAATACATCCTTTTATCTAAAAAATATACACGTCTAGATAAAAAGGATGGCGTATGACCACTTCTTCGTAATATATATCTACACTGCAGGTCATCCTGAAAAAAATCTAAAAATTAAATTTTTTTGATTTGAAGAGGTTTGAATTGTGTGCGTGACACTCACGTCATGATATCGTTGTGATAATTTTGTCAATTCCGATTGGATATTTTTGTCAGCTGATGACTTGGAGTGATCCTATTGGATTATCTTGTTAGCCGATGATTTAGTGAAATCCCATTGGATATTTTTGTCAGCTGATTATTTGCCAGCATCCTATTGGATATCCTTGTTGTGAAGGGCCATTGGATAGGTTTGTCAGCTGATTACTTGGAGCGATCCTATTGGATAATCTTTTCAGCTAATGAATTAATGAAATCCCATTGGATAAGTTTGTCAGCTGATTACTTGGAGTATTCCTATTGGATAATCTTGTCAGCTGATCAAGGGAGATGATCTCATTTGATAATCTTGTTGAGGAATCAGCGGCATCAGAGATATACTGCTTGGGACTTCACGATCAGCTGGGGAAAAAAGATTAAAAACATCATAATTTATCACAAATGTTCATTAGCGATCTTGTTTTGGAGAAGAAAAAAAACTAAAAAAAACTTCGCGCTGAAATTTCGCCAGAAGACCGACAAGGTACAAGCAACTATTGAAGCAAGTTTTAGAGCGATTTGTTGATTGAAACAATTTTTTATTCTTATGTTTATATCATAGAGTGCTCACGCTAAATCCGTAAAACAAATACTAATTTTTAGCACTAAATAGTGATAATTAAACAATAGAAAACAAAGGATTATGTATTAAATAGTACTAATTAGTACTATTTAATGTTCACGGTTTTAGTGCGTGCACTCTACCTCCCATAGTCCCTCCCTTACTTATTCCCTCAAATAACTCAAGAACCTTGTTTGGGCTGCCTGTGTTTCAGCAAACATGGCTGCTGCCAAGGTTGAAGACACATTGCAAAGTTTTTCGTCGCAACGAGCTCGGTTTTACAAGCAAGTCTTCTCCATTTATCAGAGGTATGTGAACTATTATGTATTCTTTTAATATTACAGCTTAAACATGGTTTCTATAAGAGGTTTGTATTGATGTTTAAGTTTATGTTACTGGAAGCCTTTCAAGTAAAGTAAGTGTTGTACTCGAAGCTTATAAAAATTGTTGGACTTCTTTAGCTAGTTTTGGAGTATTTAAGTTATCTTCGAATACTGAGGACTAATAAGAATGGAGTATTAAGGCAGTAGGCAGTAGACCGAGTCTAATTTGGTAGACAAAGGAATTTTTTAATTCATAACTTTTAAGAATAGACAGAAACTCAAACTTAGTCTTATTGCAGATTAACAATATGAGTTAATATGACAATCTTAAAAAGTATGAAAAATTACACATAAGTTAGAAATAACTTCGAATATAAAGATATTGCCTTGCTTTTTGCCTGTCCATCCACCAAAAGTCAAACACTTTAGTCGACTTTTGAGAATTTTTTGAGGGGACTTTCATGTGTTACCAAGGTCAGTCTATTGAGTGTTCTCTTTGATCGATGAATATTTCAATTTAAGGGGTCATAATCAGTTTTCTCCTATATTTAAAATAAGCTACAAGTCTAAAACTTGATTTTTGTTTCTGAATTTTGTATTTTAAGGGATTTTTTTGTTTTGGAAAATCTAAAATCGTACGTGTTCAGGGTGGATGTCGGAGCTTGAATCGCAAAAAAAGTTTTGGTCGAATTTTTAGCTTTTGAAAAGGCATGGACAATCGCAATGTATACCAAAAACATACCCAACCTCTAAAATTTGGTTTATGCTTCTAGTTTCTGAATTTTGAGAGTTTTTTAACTTTGGAAAATCCGGAACCGCGCATGGATGGAATGGACTGGACTTCGATTAGCTGGATCGTGCGGATCGCAAAAACGTTTTTTACGCCGAATTTGCAGATTTTATCCTGAAATATTTATCTTAATATTCATAAATAGTAGTTCTCTGTAGAAATTTTGCACAAAATCAAGCTTTAATTTTTTGTCATAATATACCTTTTATTTTATTTGTCTTGGTGCAACTAAGCTGACCCAATACAGACCACGCGTAATTTGATTAAGAATACGATTATCTTTTTGGRCTGTATCCAAATATATATTTATTCGTCTCCTCATGCGCAACCGTTAACCAAAGAAATGATACTCTTGGGAATGACACGTAGTGTGAAATGGGAAACATTACATCAAAATGAATTAGATTTATTGGATTTTGGAGCTCGGAAATAATCGTCAGTCTATTCGGAATTCCTTTGGTAAAGAAATGCACAGGTAACCCAGCCCATTGAAATATAAAGGCTATCCTTACCTCCAGATGAGGACGATTCTTGCTGATCTTGGTCTATTGCTTCAGACCGTAGCAACGGTTTTCTAGGCAATGGTTCTATTTTGTTTCGAGGTAAACGCAACGAGCTGTTCGTCGTTCTGTTCGCTCTGTTATTTCGTTCAACCATTTCTGTTTTGTTATTAGCGTCGTATTCTTCTTCGTCTATTCGTTCGACGGGAACGGTAGCTCTTTGATGCTGATAACGTCTTATTGCAGGACTCGTTTCTGGTGCCTGATTGGGTAGTTGCGTGAGTGTGACTTTTCGACTCTCGTTTTCAGATGAGCTGACATCGCTACTGCTCGCTGTTGCAGGGGACTGGATTAAGACATCTGGATGCTGTTTTACTTGAATATTTGTTGTATTTAATGAAGGTTTCTTATACTAAAAATAGAATATTGCGTCATAGGTTAATAACAATAGACGTCATTTTCGATTTCGCGTGGAAGTTTGCCAGCTGAATCGATAATAAGCATGAGGTCAGTGATAGCCTTTCACTTTCATTTAGCCGATATTTATAACAATTTAATCATTCTAAGCATTTACCCAAACGTACTACAGTTGTTGGCCGATTGAAAGCGAGTAGGCCGGCTTACTAGAACAGTAGACCATACGCGCATGCGTAAGATCGGTAACCGCATAACATATTGATTTTACTTACCTCTTCTTTTAAAGTTATTTCTCCTAGAGGGTGGTCTTTGAAATAGCCAATAACTTCTCCCACTGTGTCGAATCTTTTCGCTCCGACGTAATACGAGTTGTCTCGTGTGACGACCGAATGATGACAAACATATTTACCAGCACTAAATGTCGAGAAAATAAATAGATGTTAGTTAAAATATCTGCAAAAATAAAAACTTCTTGGACTTCCACTTGGACTTCTACTTATTTCTTGTAAAATCCGTTTACCCAAAAGCACAGCATTATAGCATGGGCTCCCTGTGTTGATAATTTACTTCCAAAAAATCTTAAAATTTTGCATATCTCATTTGTAGAGGTTTTTTTAACCAACCTTAAAGAAAGAAATAATTCTGATGTCATGTCGTAAGAGAACACGAATGAACCAGGGTCTGATTCTTGAAGGAGATCTTCTGCTTCTGCTCTAGTGATGCTAAATGGATTCCACCTGGAATAAAACAAGAAATTTAAAATCTTAATTGTGTATCGGCGCTTTAGGGAGGGGGT